TCCGCCATCAGCACGACACGCTCTCGGCCGTCGGGTCCAACGTGAGCGATGATGCCCTGCACCCTCCCAAACCACATGGTTGGATCCTCAGGGGCAGGACGAGAGAGAAACCATTTTCCAGCTTCCAGCGCCAGCGGGCCAGCCCAGGCCCAGCGGAGGAACTTGGCTGTCGCCTCAATCACACAGTTGGCTGGCCATTCAGCAGCTGCCGGCCTGTACAGGTTGTAAAAACTCCGTAATGAGGCCAGTTGCGAGCCACTGAGTGTGTCGATCCGCTCCACCCGGCCCAGGTAAGCTGGGTGCTCACGGCGGAGAAGAAAGTCCTCAGGCTGCCACATTGTTAGCGGCACAGGGGCTGTTTCGCTGTCAGCTGCTGGGGGTGCTGCAGTTGACGCCCTCAGATGCAGCACAACCTCCTTGTCCAACGCGTTGAAGAACATGCAGGGCTCCATGTGCACCTTGCTGTGCGCCCAACGGCCTAGCTGGCCCCAGATACTCTCCGGCGGGAACATGGATGCCGCAAAAAGGGGCCCTAGGGAGGCAGGAGTGCCAGGAGTGCAGTACAGTGTGTGTGCGGTATCCCACGTCTTGACACACACAGCACATCACATGTCTCAGTGCATTGAACACGGCATGGCCTACACAATGCGGCACATTCCTTACCGATGTTCTTTATGGAATCCACCAGGTGCAACAGGTTGTGCAGCTTTATGTCCATCTCATTCATGGACAGACGAAGCTCGACTAGGCATACAGCCTCCACCACGCGCTGCTCAAGGGCGTCCACCTCACCCCTGCGCAAGCAGCATGACAAAACAGGAAAAGAAAGCAGACAGAGGAGACTAAGCATGGGTCTGGTGGATCGCTGTATGCACACCACATTTTTGGGATACATCTACACAAATTTAAACCTGCCCGTGGTCTCACCCTTCTAACACCTTCTGCCACAAGTCGCCACATGCCTGAAGGAGCCGCAGGTATGCCTCCTGTACAGGCTCAGGAAATCGTGCAGATGTGATGATGTACGAGCCGATGGGACCGGCGAGCAGAAAGTAAGTGTGCGTCTTGGCGGCCTTCCCTGCACCGGTAAGGCGCTGGAGTCTAGACGTGAGAGCTGCTGGTGTCACCCGTACGACTTCCTGCAGTGCGGCCCTGATCCTGGCCAGCTGGGCACCATCTGCATACATTACAGATTAGTGTGTCTCCTGTAAGAATTCCGTAGTAGAGCCTATGGTGGGGAGGTCCATGTGTAAATTAGTCCACTAGTAGTTATTGCATTAACCCTTAAGTTATTCATCATGCATAATGGGCAAGTCATATGAGTTCCTTACCAGCACGGCCAGGGTTTGGGCCCTTGTTCTGATTGTAGTCAGCCACTGCTTGCCTCAGACGGGTGCTTGCCTTGGCAATGCGGAGGCCCTGCACACCCTTGACCACGTCCTCCTTGATGACCCCGCCGAGAGTATGCATGCCATCCATGTTGATCATCGAGCAGGGGTTGAAATACCGCAGGATGTAAATGGGGCAGGCAAGGCCCACGAGCTCTGGACGCCCAGGGACACCCCCGCTTTGTAGCTCCTGGCTGGCCCACTGCATTACCCCTGACGGCATTCATTGGGCTCCTCCCCCGCCTTCCCCGCCGTGCAACGCCTGCACCACGGGTGTTTGCAGTAATGGCCCCACGGGACCCCCGGCCCCCGTCTCGCCCAGTGCGGCCCCTGCCACGGCTGCGTCGTCCACCAGGTAGCTCTTCCTCAAGCTCGCGTGCATGCTGGCGGCCACGCCCACTGGCTGGCTCTTCATCCGCTTCCACCTCCTCCTCACTGACATCCCCCGCAATGACTCCTGGCTGGCCCACTGCATTACCCCTGACGGCATTCATTGGGCTCCTCCCCCGCCTTCCCCGCCGTGCAACGCCTGCACCACGAGTGTTTGCAGTAACGGCCCCACGGGACCCCCGGCCCCCGTCTCGCCCAGTGAGGCCCCGCCACGGCTGCATGCCACCATAGCTCTTCATCGAGCTCGGGTGCATGCTGGCGGCCACGCCCACTGGTGGCTCTCCATCCGCTTCCAGCTCCTCCTCACTGACATCCCCCGCAATGACTCCTGGCTGGCCCACTGCATTACCCCTGACGGCATTCATTGGGCTCCTCCCCCGCCTTCCCCGCCGTGCAACGCCTGCACCACGGGTGTTTGCAGTAATGGCCCCACGGGACCCCCGGCCCCCGTCTCGCCCAGTGCGGCCCCTGCCACGGCTGCGTCGTCCACCAGGTAGCTCTTCCTCAAGCTCGCGTGCATGCTGGCGGCCACGCCCACTGGCTGGCTCTCCATCCGCTTCCACCTCCTCCTCACTGACATCCCCCGCAATGACTCCTGGCTGGCCCACTGCATTACCCCTGACGGCATTCATTGGGCTCCTCCCCCGCCTTCCCCGCCGTGCAACGCCTGCACCACGAGTGTTTGCAGTAACGGCCCCACGGGACCCCCGGCCCCCGTCTCGCCCAGTGCGGCCCCTGCCACGGCTGCGTCGTCCACCAGGTAGCTCTTCCTCAAGCTCGCGTGCATGCTGGCGGCCACGCCCACTGGCTGGCTCTCCATCCGCTTCCACCTCCTCCTCACTGACATCCCCTGCAAAATCATCAGTGCCATGGCTGGGGCCCCCGCCATCACCATGGTGCACTGCAGCATTCGCAGCAAGTGCAGCCTTGACAGCTGGTGGCTCCTGAACACCTGCCGTGAGCTCCTCCCGTGTTCGAAATGGAGGTGGTCCTTCATCAGTGCCACAAGCCGTTGCTGACCTGCACACAGCACGGGTGGACCCACAAGGGAGGGCCCAGGCTTTTTATCTAACGTGTCAGAATTAGAGAGAAAGAAAGACAACTTAGGGTTTAGAGAGAAACTAAGACAACTGGTGCAGCCCCATCTCCGTACCTGTGCAGATCAGCAACATCAGTACGCCAGGGATGACCTGGCGAGAGCCAGCGATGATGGTTACACCAAACCGTCTTGGTGCCCACCCTGTGCCCGACAGCACAGCACTTGAAGCAGCCAGACGGTGAGGGGGTGCCCTTGAGGCCGAGATGCTTCTGGAAGCCCTTATAGTCCATCACAAGACCCACGTTAGCAACATACAGTGGGAACTCCTCACCAGTTCTTGCGTCCGTTACCACCACACCTTCGGTAATCAGTGTCAGTAAGTCATCGGTGATGAGTAGAAGGGTATGATTGGGGTCGAAATACTCCGCTTGCTTCTGGCCCGTCGGCTTGACATTTCCCGCCGTTACACACAAGATCGTGCAATATCCCAGCAGGTACCACTTTTCCGGAGGCGCGTTGACAACGAGTAGAAGCCACACCGTGCTTGAGCGTTCTTGCTCATCTGCAGGCACCTGGCAGGCAGGAGGTTGGTTAATAGGGATGACAGTGAACATGGCAATATTCGACCCTCCGGCCTACCCAACCATCCCAAATCCAAGCAAACTCACCACAAACGCGTCGGAGGCAATCATTGTGACGAGGCAGCGGGGATCACGGAAACGGGGGTCCGAGGCCAGCAGTTCCTGGACTACAGCTGCATCACAAATGTCCCTCAACTGCCCATTGCGCCTCATGCGATCTGGGCTCTGCCAGCTGGAGAACTCCTCCACGAGCTGCTTGTTGCTGAAGACACGCCCGCAGAACCCGCCAATTGGGTTATAGGTCAGATATCTTGCCTCCGAGCGCATCTTTGGACAGGCAATCCACTCGCCTGCCCGCGGGCCAGGTACCATGCCCCCGCAATGATCAGCTCCCCGATACTCGGGCCCACGGTAAATGAACCCACAGGGGCACATGTCGTACCGAATGAGCCTTGGCCATCGACAACCACCCACATCTTGAAGCTGGGTAAGTGCTTGCTTGAAGGACGTTGGAAGAAATGGTGCTGCTGCCCTCTGTTCCCTGCTGGCATACGGCCCAGTGAAGTCAGCATGCTTCTTGCTGAGCATCTCCCTCACTACCGTCTCCGTGGCAGATGGGCTGCTGTCCTTGACGTCAAGTGCGTGAAGGCACGCCGTCACTACCAGTGCACGAATGGCAGTGTTGTTCGGTAATTCTGGATAAGCCACACGCTGAAACCGTGTGAGAGGCCGACCGCCATCATTCCCTGGCAAGAATGTGAAATCACCCGTTTCAAGCATGCACATGTACCATGACAACTTCACACATTTCATCACCAAGCTCACCCGGTTGCCAGCTACGTCGGTGTGTGTCACCTTCCTCCACCAGGAGTTCTTCTCGTGTTGGCAGTTCTAGGCCTTCCCACATCCATAATCCACCATCATCATCATCATCGGGGCCCTGAGGCTGTAACCCATGGCCAGGCATGGGAAGATCGTACAGAGGCACGTGCCCCATGTCGCCATGGATACTGCCACCACTACTTTCTGGTTGACCTGTTCGAGGGGATTGCAGTCCCGGGGATGGTGGGGACTGCATGGACTTCGGGGAATGCAGGGACTGCATTGGTGACTGTTCCCCGCCTGGCACATCACGGCGCACCACAGGTACGGGCCTGTCATATGTAGGGTTGCCGGCTGGCAACCGGCGGTAATTCCCAGCGGCTGGTGCACCCCCGGGGCTTCCGTGGCTGAATATGGCTGGGGAGTGGCCATGTTGGGTGCCCTCCACTGCAGGAGTGCCCAAGACCATGGGTGGGCCGTTACTATCACCATCACCGCTTCCGTTCTGCTCCTCCAGTACGGCCGCCAATACCTGTTCAAAATCTAGTTTGTGCTGCCGGAGGCTGTGTGCTGGAGATGCAGCCTGTGTTCCCAACCGCTGCCAACGCTGGACACGACTGGGTGTCCGACGGAGGTTGTACGGTGCGACAGAAGGTGATTTAGAAGCGAGAGACACTTCTGTTGTCTGGTTGGATATGTGTGCTACTACCGGCAAACCTCTCAGTCCGAATCGGACAGGGGAAACGTCGATCTCGCTGCTCTCTGACCCTTCACTGCAAGCATGCCTTTGGCTCTCAGCCATTGTCAAATAGAAGTTCTCATTGTGAAAACATTGGCAATCAGTCCTGTGGTAGGCGGACAAATTACAGGTTGCACTCGACAACGTGGTCGTACACAGGCTGCTTTGCCTCCATGGATACTCCTAATAGGTACATTCAAATTTAATCATAGCTACGTTCATATACTACATACCCTTGGCTCGTTTATTAATAAGACGGACAAGCTAAGCTAAGCGACGACCAATATCGACAACTCGGTCGATCGTATTCACTGCCACCATTGTTCACATAAACTATGCACACAATGCACATTTTCAATTCCCCATATGGCGGTGCTTATGGCGGCGAAAATGATGGCGTGGTAGGGCGGGTCGACCACCGCCAGAACACCGTTGACCGTCTTCCTGCAGCACAGGCCCGAGCTTATGGTGCTCCTAATCCTGCAAGACTTCAAATGACGCCCGAGAATCTGCCTGGAAGGGCGCCTTACGCTTCACCAGGTGTGACCGCGTTTGGGGTCAAACATCCGGAGCTCCCACCGAAGACTCTTGACGCTCTTAGGAGAGCGTGCATCGAAAATGAGGAGAACGTGGATAGTATTTCAGAAGTGATCCGCTCGGAGCTGGACGTAGCAGGTCGCGAGGGGGCACTCAAGCTTCTGGCCGAGCTTAAATTCCCGCCCATCGACTGCAAGCGCGTGCTTGACAGCCTGTTGTCGACAACACCATCCAATCACTGCAACAAGACCAATAAGTCGAAGTCGCGCATTAGGTAAGCAGCCCGGCACAATGCCTTTCGATTGACCATTAATATTGCATTGAATTCACACCTAGGTAGGCCTACTGGGTGACTAGAACCACCATTACATTACATCACTTACACATCCGTTCCTAATGATGCATGCAGTGATGCAACGGAGTCTTCGGCCGTGAAGGTGCCGGCCTGCGTTCCTGAGGCCTTCGCCGACGTCTTCAAGCCAATGAACTCACAGAGTGATGCCAGCAAGTTCAATGTCCTCGCGGCAACCGAGTGAGTTGACATGGAGCGTTGTTGCATTAGACATGGGGGTCACATTCCCAACGCGTGCCCTAGGGCAGGCCTGCCGCTCTTCCCTTCCCTGCTTTTCTCCCCATGACGGCCGTACTTCTGCCCTCGCATTCAGGGTTATCAAGGCGGGCATTCTTTGGACCGACATCAGCGAGGGCCTGGCACCCCGGAACGACACCGATTCATATCAAGACTATCATAACGCACTGGATGACTGTACTGTGCCATATCAAGACCATCGGCAAGGGCAACCTCCTATCCCTAAAGAGGAACAGCACGGCACGGAAGGAGGTCGAAGCAGCTCTCCTTAAAAGCATGAAAACGTGCATGCAGAATTACCAAGGCGGTAAGTTTGCAAATTGGGGGAATGTACATATACACCTGGGGGTAGTAAATCATGCATTGGAAAAGGGACCCCCAACAATAGCGCACTTTTCAATTTCCCCCCACTTGCAGTGTCAGTTCCCGACATGTACGATGGCTGAATGTGTGCGTACGTGCTATGGTGCAGGGCTCAAGCCAAAGGGCTACGAGGGCATGTTCAACACGGTGCGGATGGAGGTGAAACAGCTGAAGGAGCAGGGCACCTGGGAGGAGCCGACAGATGACATGCGGCAGAAGGCCGACAAGGAAGCCAGGGAGAAGGCCTTGGCAATCTTGGGGTGCATCAAGCAGAAGGCGGGTTTCGTGGACAAGAAGAAGGATGGTGGGTTTCTGGGATGGGCTGGGAGGAGGGTTGACTGGATGGATGGAAAGACTCATAGTGTGCGGGACATTCACAGCGGTTTTACACTCTTGTAAGCACGATTTTGATCCCTACAATGTGATCATGATTTGCAGACACAGAGCAGGGCGGCAATGCAGCTGCCGCCGAAACACCAGCTGGTGCCGAAGAGGTAGCCCCTGTCCAAGTTCCACGACAGCAAGAGGAGCAGAACCCCGCCAACCCGCCGACCAGTGATGAGGGTGACGGGACAGCTGCAGAGATGGGTGAGAACCCCACCACGGAGGAGGGAGAGGAGGTGGAACGAAAGAAGCCCCGTGGCAGGAAGCCGGCAGGAAGCCGACAGTCAGCTGGCTGTAGGAAGCGAAAGGAACCACCCCCAACTGAGGCTGGTGCAGAGCAGGCAAAGACCAGCCGCCGCCGTCGAGGGTCAACTGATCCACGGATAGGCAGTGAGTGAAGTAAGTTGTGCTCTCATGGTTTTGGTTTTGGGTTTTGTTCAGAGTTGGGCACTAGCTAATGTTAAAACCCTGCAGCTGATATGTGTATTGCCACCTATAGCTATCCTCCCGGTTTCTGTCGTATGGCAGTTATTGAGCATAACCTTAAATTTTGCCATTTCTTTTCCGTGCATGCAAAACAGGTCTGGACTCTAGAGTCCCCGTGGTGGGAGACCTCGGATTAATCAAATATCGGAGAAATATTTGATTATCCGATATTTGATTATCGGAGTCAGGAACTCGTTTAGTGAGACATGTGTCTGGAGCCGTACATCAGATCATACGGAACTGAATCTGGGGGCTGGGTCTGATTTCCTTTCTCTTGATATGATGACGTTGGTGTAATTAGCGAGTTTATACACACCCCGAGCCTGGGGCCATGGGCGGGCTCTACAGCCCTGCAAGGCTTGTGTTGGTGAGGCAATCTTTACAATTGTACACTCGAAGTGTTTGGTGAACATGTATGTTTGTATGTGTAGACATGTGAGCTTGATACAGGCATATGCATGGATGGAAGTGTATAGACAGGCATGCAAATATTTTTTTACATAGGCGAAATAGGCATACGTGCTCACATAGATGGATGAGACAGCTGTAATAGCATGTGTAGGCAGGTTGGACAGGGACATGCTTACAATCCATTGACACCAGCACATGGCCCGGCATACGGACAAGGAACACTTGTAAACACGGGTTACCCTGTCTGTTACCCCTCAGTACAATATTACCCCTACCCCTTTGTTACCCCTTGGTAAGGGGTTACCCCTACCCCTTTGTTACCCCTTGGTAAGGGGTTACCCCTACCCCGGGGTTAGGTTACCCACCTCCCTTCGTACATAGCCACATGGGTAACCACTTACCCCTACCCCTACCCCTAACCCCTGGGTTATGCTTAAGGGGGGGTTACCCCTCGTTTTATGCTATAGCGTACCCCTCGTTTTATGCTATAGCGTACGCTATAGTTCCATATCTCGTTCCGCAAAAGATTGAATGTAGAAGCTATCTCTATTCTTTATCCACCTGACAAAGGAGAAATTCCAGATAAATCGGAGCGCGACAAAGATAGCTGCACCGGGGCCGAGCCCCTTTTCGGCTTTGAAAAGCCGGCCCCCTAGATTAATATGAAGATTCGCTCATACATCATCGATAGTTGCTTAAGTATCGCTTCATTACTCCTCTATCTGTTTAGCCATGATAAGCAAGCAAGCTGTCTCTCCTTCCCCTGCTCTACCTGGCTCCTGGCTCCCCAAAAGCTGCTTGTACCTATAAATCGGCCGCATGCTTACATACATACACACATCGCCGCGCATGCATCACAGAGAGTGGCTGTGTGGACGAGGAACCCAAGCCCGTCCGCACCGCCACCATCAACGGCATTTCAGTGGTCCCGCTGTTCAGCCCTAAAACATGGAAGGGGGAGACGTACGGCATCATGACATTCCGCCGCCTGGCTGACATCTTTCCCACGACCCCCTCCGGCGGCTTGTACATCTGCTTGGAGCTGGCTAGGACCAGTCCCTGCAGTACACCGGCGGGAATGTGCTACGGCAACAGCTGCGTGTTCGCACTGTCCAACGATGATTTCACCTGTTGCCCCGTCAGTCAAGTGCTGGTCTGAGCGAGCTTGTTGGGCTGGTAATTGACGCATGCATAATAATGATAAAGAGTAATATTTACGCTATGGCTTGTCGTAGCAGGAGTATGTGATTACTAGCTGGATGGGTTGCCCCAATAATATGGTGTATGTACATTTCAATATTGCAGCGAGCATCGAGTTGGGCACCCACGAGTGCAATTGAGGCGCCTGCATGCGCAGGAGCAACCTTTTCTGGTCGCGATGAAGTTGCCAGCGAGCATCGAATTGGGCACCCACGAGTGCAATTGAGGCGCCCGTGTGCACATGAGCAACCTTTTCTGGCCGTGATGAAGTTGCCAGCAAGCATCGAGTTGGGCACCCGCGAGTGCAATTGAGGCGCCCGTGTGTGCAGGAGTAACCCTTTCTGGTCGTGATGAAGTTGCCAGCAAGCATCAACTTGAGCACCCGCGAGTGCAATTGAGGCGCCCGTGTGTGCAGGAGTAATCTTTTCCGGTCGTGATGAGGTTGCCAGCGAGCATCGAGTTGGGCACCCGCGAGTGCAATTGAGACGCCCGCGTGCACAGAAGTAATCTTTTCCGGCCGTGATGAAGTTGCCAGTGAGCATCAACTTGAGCACCCGCGAGTGCAACTGAGGCGCCCATGTGTGCAGTTGTTGGCACCCGTGCGTGCAGACATGAGCATCGTCGATTGCCTTCTTTATTCGTGGTGTCTCCCGCTCCCGCTTTTCTTCTATCGCCTTTTCTTGTCTTGAGTTCGTGAACCGACCGTTGTACGGGTTCACTCTGTGGCAGCGTTTGCCGTACTCTTGGGACAATTCGTGTCAAGTCAAGCAGTCCATTAAGTTGGCAGCCGGCCGGCTGGGGGGACCCATTTTTTGCCCGTCGTACTTCTTTCAGTGCTGTCCTACTTCCTCGCTCGCCCGTGTCTCCATCAGTCCGTCCGGTGCATGCTCGGTGCAGGCTTTCACCACCACCAGTGAATTCCATCTAAGGAACCATGGATTCGTTCTCTCATGACGACGCTATCGCTTTTCTGTCAGAGCTAAGGGTGGAGGCCCTCTCGCGTCTAGGCCTTGCGGAAGACACCCAGATGTCCGTCAGTCACAACACCAGCCAATTCAAAAGGCAGCACCTTTTAGGCCAGCCGCGTGGCCCACCTGCTGCAGCCCCCGACGACATGCCAGCCCCCAAACGGCCTGCACCGGGCCCTGCCCCTGCCCATCGGCCAAACCTGGACCCCGCACCAGTTCCGGCAAGTCTGGCCACACATCGGAAACAACCAGCCCGTCCCGCGGTGGCACCAGAAGGTGCGAAGGTCGAGGCCCCGGGTGACCTCCGGAAGGTTAAAGGGGAGTTTCCTAGTCCTACCTCCGACAACACCTTGGGAGTTCGGTCGTTACCAGCAGCGGGTCAGCCTCCCAGATGAGAGGACGCCTCTCTGGCAAAAAGAGCGCTTGGAAGGCTTGGGTTGTGAACACGCTGGTCATCTCGTGGATCACGTCAGGCTTCCCACTCCGTTGGGTCTCCAGCCCTCCCCCCCCCCAGCACTCAGGCCACAATCACGCTTCGGCAACCGCCAACGCCGCGTTCGTTGACAAAGCCATCGCGGATCTGTTGGCGTCGGGCACAGCCCACGCATGGCCAATGCAGCCTCGTGTGGTTTGCCCGTTGGGGGTCGTGCAGCAGGCAACTAAGCTCCGGCTCATTTGGGACGGCAGGCCGGTAAACGATTGTTTGCATGTCCCCTCTTTCCGCTATGAAGACTTGAAGGCGGTTCCTGGTTGGCTACTCCCAGACGATTACCTATTTACTTTGGACCTCAAAAGCGGCTACCATCACCTCGACATTGACCCAAGGTTCTGGGAATATCTCGGCTTCTGCTGGAGAGGTGTCTTCTATGTCTTCACACAACTGCCTTTTGGCCTCGCTTCCGCCTGCTGGGCGTTCACGAAGCTCATGTGAGAAGCCATGCACCCTTGGCGCAAGCGTGGCTGGTGATGCTCGGGCTACATAGACGATCAGGTGCACGCAGACCAGAACACTGATAACTTGGTACAGCGCAGGGCCAAAGTGGTTGCCCAGCTGGAGGCGCTTGGTTTCCTGGTTAATAAAGAGAAATCCATGCTGGGGGCCGTGCACCATCGCGTCAACAAGGGCTCCACAAAAGCGGACAACTTCCACAAGGTTGCCTGCGAGCTGCACAGCTACTGTTTCGAACAAGACATCCGCTTGCAAGCAGAGTGGCGACCTCGCGGCCAGAACCAGCTTGCTGATGCGCTTTCGAAACTGCAAGACCCTGATGACTGGATGCTGAAGCCCAGCATATTCCGCCGACTTCACGACACCTGGGGCCCCTTCGACATTGACCTTTTTGCCTCCCACGCGAACTTCCAACTCCCCGTGTACTACTCCCGCTACTTTACCCCAACAACGTCTGGAGTCGACGCGTTCAGGTTCTCATGGGGGCGCAGGTGCTGGGCGAACCCGCCCTTTCACCTCCTCCTCAGGGTGTTGCAGCACGCCGAGGCCTGCAAGTCCCGGCTCTGCCTTGTCGCGCCTTTCTGGCCTACCCGTGACTGGTGGCCTTTCATCACGGCCGACGGGGTCTGGTTCAAACCCTTCATGAGCGGAGCCCGCGTGCTCGGCCGGGCCTCAGATGTTTTTCTGGCCCGCACCTCAGGGGTCCCCCTGCCCAAAGGTGCATCACGCTGGTCCACCTTGGCCCTTCTGGTCGACTTCTCGGCCTCTAACATCAACCGCATCCGTGTCCCCGCCGATCCGATCGCGCCCCACACACAGATTTAGACACCCGGGCCGAGGCTCTCCTGGTCGCTCTTGGCGCGGAGGCAGACACGGAACTCTCCACTTTGGCGACTCAATTCGCCAAAGTGGCCGGGCAGACCCTCGCCCCACGGACATCCAACGAACACTCGCAGTCTTGGGAACCCTTCCGCGAGTGGTGGGCGGCCAGGCAACTGCCTGGAAGCATCTATGACACCTCGGGCGAGGTGGTGGCGCTCTACCTGCGGTCCAGTGGAACAGGGCCAGGGGATACCTGTCGGGCCCTCTGACAGGCACGGTGGCCCAGCCGATCCACTCCCTGTCGCACCCTGCCTTCTGCCACTGGCTCAACAAGACCCTGCAAGCGGCGGGGATCACCCGCCGCATCACTGTGCATTCCATGCGCATAGGAGGAAATAGCACTGCCGCCGATCACGGTGTGCCTGCGGACTTGTGCAAGGTGCACGGCCAGTGGCGCAGCGACGCCATGGTGCAGCACTACATGCGGCGCGACAGGGAGGCGAAACTCTCCGTCTCCCGCAGTCTGGGCCTCGCCAGTGAGCAAATGTCTCTTCGGTCTGCTGTGTAAGGCCCGAGGCAGAGGTGCAATTCTCACCAAAATCGTCCAAACCATGCCGTTCAGCACCATCGGGTCAGCCAATCCACAGCCACCAGAACCAGTTAAGGGAGACAGTAACACAGAATTGTTGGCTTAGATGTGACGGAGTGAAGCGACCGGAGCCTCTAAGGCTGGTTCTGTGGTACTGTCGTACAACTGGGTCGCAGTGGCGACTTAAACCTTACTGCTCTCCTGGTGAAGTCATTCTGCCTTCACACAGAAGAGCATACAGCCTTGTCCGAATAGTCAGCGTGACAGGCTGTACTTGCCCCCCGCCCGCCCTGTCCCTGTCAGCCCCTTGCCTCCTCTTTCCGCTATCCCCCAGATGCAGCACTGATTGGCTCGGCCTGGCATCGGCGGGCTCCTGAGAGGCGCCCCCCCCCTCAGCATGGTGGCAGGGGGAGGCAGCATGCGCACGGGAGGGGGTTGGTTCAGGGGGCGGGCCGAGGCGCCTGCAACCGGGATGAGGGGGAACACCCCATGGGGTTGGTGCCTGGTCGTTCTGGTCGGTCGGGCTTTGTCTGGTGTGAAGGTCTTTGGGGCGTGCGGGTGCTGCAGTGCCTCTGTTACTTAAGGTCAGCAATGCTGTCGTGCCGAGGTTGGTTTTTGGTGTTGGGTGCTGGCGCCCTTTCACGGTGCGCGCCAGACTGTTGGCTGTCTGGTGTGTCGCGCTGTGGTCGGCCGCACGGCCCCCGTGGCTACAGGCGGCCTGCTGGCCGGTTGGGCCGCGCGGCCACTGATAGGCTTGGCTGTTTGCTCTTCCTGCTGTGTAAGGCCTGAGGCAGAGGTGCAATTCTCGCCAAAATCGTCCAAACCACGCCGTTCAGCACCATCGGGTCAGCCAATCCACAGCCAACAGAACCAGTTAAGGGAGACAGTAACACAGAACCTTAGTAAGGAAGTCATCCACCTCGTTGTGCTGGAACGGGTCGAGGGTGGGGTAGAGGTTCTGCATTATTTCGTCGTCTGAATCGCTATCCCTAGAAAAGATAGGGTTAATGTAGGTACGGGGCCTACCTAGCGCTACAAAAAGACGCGACCACTTCTCCCTATCGGATTCTGTTCCGCTGGTGTCTAGTGGAGCAGTAACCTCACCCTCGGTGGGAGCTAACTTAGTTAGGGAAAGTTCCACCTGTACTGCTAGACCACTATCCGAACGCGAGCGCACAATGCGGAAGGTTTCGCTAGTACGAGACCCTGAGGTGGACATCCTACGCGTATCCTTACGCGGAACCTTACTTACCTCCTGCTGATCTCGTTGACTGGTCGAGCGAAGATGTTGCGCAGTGGCGGCCCGCAGGATGTTACGACGTAGCGGCTCCGTGGGACTTATACTTCCCTGTATAATAATTAGCTTACGAAAAACAAGAAGATAAGAAAAGGAAAAGAAAAAGATGTAGCAGCAAACGCGAAGCGATCAGGCAAGGACCAAGCAATAAAAGCCTAGTGACTACTAAAGAGTACTAACCCCGCCCCACCTAAGCTGGTGTTGCTGTAAAATTGCGTTGTGTTGTGCTGCAAAAGAGTAGCTGCGTGAAAACAGCTGGTCTGATTTATAACGCCGCGTCGGGAAAGAGGAAAGTACCGACTCGATAAGCTTGCAGCGTTTATTCCATCATATCATTGCGCGCAGGCGCACACAAGTCTCTGCTGCTGAAATAACGGAAGAAAGGACTCTAATGCAGGATGGACAGCGTGCAACTCCTTCCAACTGACGTGCTCGTAGAGCTCTGGTGCCGACCAATAATCGCGCGCCACACAATCATACAGGGCCGCGCCCCACGAATGGCGCGATGCATCCACTGAAAGCTCAACTGCAGCAGGACCCTGGTGAATAGCCGCCGAGCATTGGTGGGTAGAAATGTCTGCCTACCACCCAAAGTCACGTAACGACCCACGGGGCAAGCACACTCGACCAGGATAACCAACCGGTTGCTTCACATCATCGTAAAAATTGCGGAGAAATAAGAGAGCTGGAGTAAGGGCCAATTTGATGCTCTGTGCAAAACTACACAACTTAGCCAGCTCACACTTCTGCACCAGACGCTGATTTTTCTTTGCCGTGATCCGCAACCCGATCACCAGCCACCACAATTTGGCGAGCTTTTGCTTAGGCACCTGAGCACACCAGCTGCCGTATTGACCGTAATGCCTAAGTGATACACTGACTGCGACGGCTCCCACTGGCACTTGGTGGGATGGCATGACAAACCCAAAACCTCGATACTCTCACGCACCCAGCGCGCGCAAAAACGTGCTTGCTCCTCGGAAGTAAACATGATTAGGAAATCATCCAAATACGGTAGTACTCGCGCACCCGGACGTGAAGGACGCTCTGTCTGGGAAACGGGAAAAAACTTGTGGGGCGAGAGCAAGGGGCGAGGGACACTTGTGACCCTTGCCCGCCGCAGCCAAAGAATCCCGCCAAATACGCACCACATTGCGCATGTACTGCTGAAGAGACGGTGTCTCTCTGGGACCTAGCAGACACGGCCAAGAGTAATTGGCCGTTACACGTAGTCGGGAGGTCCACGACCTGCCACCGATAGCCCCTTGCTTGGGCGTAAACATATTGATTCTGAGGTGCTGTTACCGGCACACAGCAGGGGCTTTAAGGTAGCCTGTCCTGACGGGCGGCCTGTCCGTATTCTAGCACCTTGACAGCCGCCAGTCATAACAGCCTGACATGGGGCCTTTCGCAGGCCACGGGGCGACACGGCACACCCCCTTCACACCAACATGCCCCCTCGAGTCGCACCAGGGGCCTGACTGCAAGCTGCTAGTACTGACGAGCTCGCTCGGCCGCCAAGTCCGCGGTCCAGGCCGGCTGCTCAACGCTCAGCAGACACAATCGCAGCTTGCCAGCCTTCAGCCTGTTGGCTTTGCGGTCTGGTACCGCAGTCCAAACACACACGGAAAACAGCACGGCACAGCACCTTACACCCTGCCTACGGTGCCCTTCGGGCATTAACCTGCCCATTCGGGCGCCTGCTCACGCGCCCTTGGTGCCCTCCTAGCTCGACACACTTCCTCTAAGCCCTCAGCATTTTTTCCACTCCCGCCCTCGCATGGTGCTCTGTCGATCTAAGTGACGCCCAGCACCGTGCGGCAGTGCACGAACTTGATTACACCCAGTGCCTTGGTGAGAATGTCAGCCACCGTGTTGTTGGTGGTACAATAGCTCAGCTTAACCTCACCGTGCATGGCCGTTTCACGCATGATGTGGTGGTGCACGTCGATATGCTTGGAGTGCACCAACGTGATGGGGTTGTTGCCGAGGCTGAGCGTGCCTTGTGAATCCAGCTGGATGTTGATGGCGCCGGGTGACAGGTCCAGGTCGCCCGCCAGCTTGCACAGCCACATAGCGCCTCGTGCACGGCTGCTGCGGCTACCAGGCCGCAGCAGCAGCCTGGTACTCGGCCTCCACGGACGAGTCAGCCAAGGTGCGCTGCAACTGGCTGCTCCAGCTGACCGCTGCACTGCCGAGCAAGAATGTGTAGCCCATGGTGGACCTGCGGGTGGCTGGGTCACCAGCCCAGTCCGCATCACTGTACCCGCCGAAGTCGCTGGTGTCGCTGCAGCTGTCGCCACGGTACTGCAGCCCGAGTGTGCAGGTGCCGGATAGGTAGCGCATCATGCCCAGCACGAGGCCCATGTGGGCCTTGGTGGGGACAGGCATGTGTCACACGAGCATGCTCAGAGTGTGTGTAATGTCTGGGCGTGTGCTGGTGGCGAGGTATTTCAGCTCGCCCACCAGCACACGGTAGCCGCTGCCATCAATCACTGTCGGCTGGGCGTCGCTGGCTGGCAGAGCACACATGCCCTGAGGCAGCAGGGTGGGGCGCGGCTTGGCATTCTCCAGGCTGTGGCGCTGCAGCAGCTGCTCCACATAGCGCTGCTGCGTGAGCACGATGCAGCGGTTGCGGCCATCCTGGACGATCTTCATGCCGAGGTAGTAGTGTGCCTCGCCAAGGTCACGCACTGTGAAGCAACCGGCGATGGCTGCCTTGGTGGCCGCGACCACTTGCAGGTTGTCCGCCGTCACCAGCATGTCGTTGGCAGTGTGCTCTGCACTGTTGCCTCCGCCTCCACCACTGCCATTGGGCACGTTAGGCTTCGCGCTGTCAGCACTACCACCTGAGCAGCAGTGGACTTCCCGTCTCTCCGCCACCACCACTGTCACCGTCCGGCTGGCCTCCACCGGTGTGGCTGCCGGCGGTGCTGCCGCCACGGGTGCTGGGGACAGCGGCGCCACTTCCGCCAGCACTGCTACCTACGGCCTGGCCCCCACCGGCTCTGTCACCCACGGTGCCGAGGGCATTGACGGTGACGTCGGCCGGCGCCTGCAGGTCCACGTCCATGCGTACTGCCCACACTCACTCCATGCGGTGATAGATGGGCTGTTGTGCAGGAGGCCGATGCGTGAGAACCAGCAGCCCGTCTTGTCCGTGCTGAACGTGACCGAGCAGCCGTGTGTCATGAGAAGGTCGACAGATGTCAGGGTGAGGCCCGAGCTGGGGACATGCAGCACGTTGTGCAGCCGGACATTGTGTCCATCACGTGTACGCAGGTGCAGCTGCCCTGTTCCCATGACATCGGCCAGCTGGTTGTTGCCCCACTCGATCAGCCATGGCACGCCGGCGGGGACGTAGTTGTGCAGCAGGGAGTGGTCACCCGTGAGGTGGTATGGTGAGCCTGAGTCGAGGATGACTCGTGAGCTGCTGCCACTGCCGTCGATGACCTGCACTGTGGCACGGCTCTGGCGTGAGCTGCTTCCGCTGCTGCCCGAGCCGCTGCCACTGCTGCCGCCTGCAGTGTCGAAGCCGTTGCAGTGGCTGTTGCCGCATTGAGCACGGTCGTGTTCGCGTGTTCTGTCGGCCCCGCTGTTACCGCCATTGCCGCTGCCAATGTCCCTGCCGCCGCTGTCATAGTGGCGGTTGCGGCTGCCTCAACTGATGTTGCCGGCAGTGTGCAGCTGCTGGAATGCGTTGCTGCGGTGAAGGCCGACGGACTCGTCCACCTGCTTAACGGGGCACTCGCAGATGTAGTGACCAGGCTGTCCACAGTAGCGGCAGCTGTCGCCGGCCCCCACAGCGCCTGCAGCACTGGCGGCGCTGCCGACTCCACTGGTGGCACGGCCAGGGCCGACAGCTCCCACCAGGCTGGTCTTGCTTACTTGGGTCTTGAGGTTGTTATCCTTCTCCCGCAGCATGAGCACGAGCTGTGGGGTCGTTAAGTTGGGCTGATACATCGTGAACTCGATGGTGATGGCGTACTGCGGAGGCAGGCCATGGAGAATGGCGTGGTGCACCGTGCTCTCGTCCCACTGGCCGCTGGCCACAATTATATCACTATGGAGCTGCTCTGCCCGCTAAATGAAGTCAGCGGTCGTCTCCCCATCGCGCATGTTCAGCTGCATATGCGGCTCAACCAGGCTCAGCCGGGCCTGGGATGCAGAACGGAACTGTTGCTGTAAGAGCTGCATGGCGGCGAGACCGGTCGGGCAATTCATGAGCACCTGCTTGATCCGCAGTTCACAGGACAGACGCAGGTAGCTGAGCGCCTGTGCGTCCTCCTCCAGGGCGTCTTGGGAGTTGCGGCCCGGAGGCGACGGGTTGTTGATGTAGCTCTTCAACTTGGACGTTGCAAGGAAGTCGCCTAAGTCGCCGAGCCAGTGGGAGTAGTTCGACCCATCCCAGAGGATGACGGTCTTACATCCCTTCCCCATGATGGTTGCCTAGCGAGCGTGACTGATGAAGACGCGTTCCCCGCCGCTTTTC